GTGGGGGGTGGCGGGGGGGGGGGGTGGAGGGGGAGGAAGGTGGAAATTCAGTGGAAAGTTGCCTACAGGAGTTAAACCAAAATCAGTAGAAAATGTTAAATGGGAGAGGGAGAAATTATGCTGCAGCGGGAAGAACTCACATAGTAAAATCTATTTCCACTGTAAAGAGTCCCGAAGGACTCAAAGGGCGATATATTATTATTTGTTAAACAACAGTCAATGAATTGAACCTCGTTGGGGCTAGGTACTGTTGAGGCATGTCCATGTAACAGTCTATACACCAGAGAACAAGAAACCAGTCTTCCCCTATGCAAAGACTGAAGTTCTACAGTCTACCCTCATTCAAACCCGCGGAAGAGCAATTAAGCAGCAATTAAATTTACCCACTGTGTAACATCACTCACTGCTAAATTGGCAAGGAACACATTTCCAGTGTGCAGCGAAGTGCAATTAAATCTACCGTGGTGTGTACATACAAAACAAAACACTTTCAGGAAAAAACAACAACAACTTTTGCCCCCTTAATCAAGTGCCTTACTTCACGTCAATACGTGACTAATCTTGGTTTATCTATCTGTTGGGCCGGTGCTGAAAAAGTGGCAAAAACACTAGAGGCTGATTCTTGGAAGTGAAAAGGAAGATATATGCTGTCACCAGAAGCCAATGTAAGTAGAGCCAAACCTTTGACTATCAGAACTCCAATTAACTCACACTCTCAGCGCTGCCAAGATTTTGATTGAAACGCTGCTCCTGCAGTTTGTAAGGAGATGGTTTCAGTGAGGGCAGGACCGGGTCTTTATGTGACGGTGATGTGACTTTCAAAAATGCTGAGCACCCGAGAGTGCTCCTGAAAGGGCTGGCCCTGTCTGAGGGGTGGAGGCGGGAGATGGAGCCGTGCGCCTGTTGCTGTCCAGTATCGCTGCTTCTCTCCGGCTGAAGTTCCGTAGGGGCGCTAGCCTATTTCAGAAGGTCTCTGTCCTGGACAGCTCCCCCAGACAGCAGCTCTTTGAGTTCACACACAGCCTGCTCATTCACAGTACCTGCAGGCAACTTTTTCCTCTGAGCTTCCACTTGAGAGCTTTTTTACAGGCTTTCCCTTCCCTTCTTCCCTTCGTTTATATTGGCACATCCCTGCTTCTCAGCTTGCCCTCCAACACGCGATGCTTTTCGCGCCTTACAAGCCATGTCAAGGTCTCTCACAGCTGCACCGCTGGCCACTTGCACAAACAGGGTTGTGTATTGAAATGGCTCTGTAATTCTGTGCCAAAGCCATGCCCTGTGATTCCTGGATGGCTCTACCTATATCAGCTTCCTTTCTAAATGCCCAGACCCTCTGCTTCTCAGAATTGCCCCATAAAAGCATTTCACTGTGAGCACCCCTAACAACTTCCACTAAAGGAGAGCTCATGCACAAGAGGAAAGTGCTAACCCTTTCCTCTCTTGGGATTTCACCCGGCCTCCTACACAGAGCATGCGGCTGGCTACTGCCTGGGCAACGAGAGCAAACGTGCAGCCGCAGCGTCCGGGCTGCACCAGGATCACCGACCTGCTCTCTGAACAAAAGGCTCGCTGGAGGTGGTGGTGACTTTGAGGACTCAGCACTCCCGGGGAAGGAGAGCAGAGCTTGCCAGCTAAAGAGTGACAGCTTCAATTGCCAGGCGACAATGCGGCGCCCGCGGAGGTTCCCGGGAAGATTCAATGGGCATTTAAGAGCTCTGAAGTTGTTATAAACAAACAACACTCACAAATCGTGTGTGTGTGTGTGTGTGTGTGTGTTTGCGCGCGCGCTGTGTACACACAGGTCCAACGCAATTCGGGAAGAGAATTCCCTTTCCTTTCCATTCATCACTGAGTGAGCGCTTTATTCCAGAGGGAGTCCCAAGCCTGGAGCTGTCAGCGAACCAGCAATAATCTTACATTTATTTTTCCTTGCAAAACTTCCCTTTGACTGCATGTGGGAAATGGCTTGAAGGTCCACTTCTCAACAGCGCCTAGAAGTTAGAAGCCCTGTATATTGGGTGTCCAGCCTGTACCACACACATTTCAGACTCTCTCTCGCTCTTTGTATGGAATAAAGCATCCTCTCAGTTAAATACAGTGTGAACGCGGGAGGGCTGGCTTTCTAAATGACAGCCTGATAGTGCCTTGACGCTCGGTTATTTGCTGTTTAGGACTTTAGGCTCACGCAATAAACGGGGATATACACAACATTTGTCCATAAGCGCTGGGCTCCCATCAGTGCCCCCTCCTCCCGTCCTGAGGTATCTCTGCTGGCAATTCCGGCTCCGAGAGGAACCTGGTAAGACTAATCCAGTTCCCAGGTTTCGATCCGTCACTCGGAGGCTGGGCAAACCCCAGGTTCTAGCTCTCAAACGAATACAATCACCTACTGCCACCCTGGAGCCTAATCCCCGCCCGCTCTGCTCGGGCGCTTTTGTTTGCCTTTCCCAACCGGATCCTGACTACACTTGAAAGCAAAACTTGCCCCGCAACGTGCTGGCGCACACACCGTGGCAAGGGGGTGGCTCGCCCGCGGGCAATGCTCTGGGGTGGGGGCGAGCCGGTGTTTAAGCAGCAGTCCAGCCACTGTGTGTGTGTGCGGAGGAAGGGGGGGTTCCAGCAAAAGCAAATGCAGCCTCCCTGAGGACCCCTCCGAGGAGACAACGCAGAAGGGCCGCACCAGCCCCCAGCCTCGGGTAAAACCGGAGACGGAGAAGAGAGATCAGACAGGAACCGCTTCCCCCAAGGCGCCTGCCCTGCCCACCCCTAGCAGGGACGGCTGCAGGCAGTGCGGGGTCCGGTCTAACACCCCCGCTGCGCTCCCTGCCCCCTCGCCCTCAGCTGGTCTCTCA